CCTCTTCCTTCTTTGTCCCGAGCCCTGGCTCCCCCCCCCCCCCCCCCCCCCCGCCTGCGCCTCAGTTGGTTCCTCCAATTGCCATTCTTTTCTTATGCTGAGCAGTCCCACTTTCCCTTTGTCTCGTCCTGGGCTGTCTCTCTCCACCCTCAGAGGCTTGTCGGTCAGCAGTTAGACAAAGAAAATTCTCTCCCAAGCTCCGTGCACAGATGCTTTGAAGAGCAATTTTCAAAAAAAAAAAAAACACCTATGCTTAATGGTGGTTTAAACCTGCAGCTCCCAAACTTTTTGACTCTCAGGATTATTTACTCTAGTAAAAATTGAGGATCCCGACGAGATTTTGTTCATGGTGGCTATATCTATCAATATTTATTGTAGTAGAAATTCACATTGGGAATTTTAAATGTATATTTATTAATGTATTTAAAAATAGTACTTAGGGCTGTGGGTGTGGCTGAATGGCTGGCATACCAGAACTCTGGGTTCTCTCCCCAGCACCGCAGAGTCCACGAATCATATGCCCGGTATGTGCTAATATAATTTTTTTTTTTGGCGGAACTGGGGATTGAACTCAGGCCCTTACACTTGCCAGGGAAGCACTTATTCCACTGAGCCATCTCCCTGGCCCCTATAATTTTTTTTTAATATTTTCCAAAACAAAAAATGAGAAGAATGACACTGTTTTACATTTTTGCAAATATCTTTCTTGTCTGGCTCTGAAGATAACCTGATTCTCTATCTGCTTCTCCCATCTGTTCATGAGATAAACATTGCACAGCCACTGGAAAATGCTGAGACTTGGGAGAGAGGCAGGATCAAAAAGGCAAATGTCACAGCATCAAACATACTTCCAGAAATGTCATGCTAAAAATGCCCACTGATGTGGCACAGGTAAGCTCTTGGCTTCATCCCAAAATTTCCAGACAATACAGGTCTGGAAACAGCTACCAGCAAATAAGACATCGGTACACTGTAACAAGACAAAAGACACAAATTTGACAGAAAAAGTAAAGCAGTAAATATTTTGAGAAACAATCCATACAAAGTGAATGTCGATATCTAACAATTACAGATGATAAGGGAAGGGGCAGAGGACAAAGATAAAGTAGTCCAAAGTAGACTTTTAACATCTGTGGGCAGGGCTAAGGGTGTGCCCCAGTGTCCAGCACTTGCCGAGCATGACTGAGGCTGGCAGTTTAATCCCCAGCCCAAGGAAAACAAAAAACAAAACACTTCCACAAAAGAATTCGAAGTCTCCAGCCAGGCATGGTGACACATACTTGTAATCCCAGCTACTCAGGAGGCTGAGACTAGAGAACCGAAAAGTTTAAGGCCAGCTTGAGGTAGGAGATTTAGGGCTGGGGCAAAATCCATCAAAGAACTAGTGTAATCTGTCAAAGTCATAGGCCCAGGGCACGTGTGCAGAACACAGAATTGAAAATGACCGGGCGTGGTAGCGCACATCTGTAATCACAGCACTCAGGATTGTTTGCAAATTCAAGATCAGCCTGGGCTACCTGAGCTCAAGGCCAGCCTGAGCTGGCCTTGTGTGGTGACACCTTGTCTCAGAAAGACCAAAAGAAAAGACGGCAGTTCCTTGAACACTGTACATGACCATCAGAAAAATGCTACTTTTTAAATTCTATTAGTACATGGTTGCAGTTCATGCAGTTTACAGTCATCTTGGGAACTGGGTACATATACATACTGACACAGGAAAGAAGCTCTTGCCCTGAAAGGTACCTGGGCCAAATCCATGTTCTCTAAAACCAAAGAATGACTTTTAGGAACAATTGAGATTAAGAGCAGAAAATATTTATTGGGGGAAAGAAACCTCCTGTCTGAGAGGACAGAAAGGGGACCTGAGCAGGTTGTGCCCAGAAGCTGTGTTTTCCAGGAATTTTTATAGAGTAAAACCATGTGGTGAGGCTCATCTAAGGTGGAGAACATGGGAACTCGCTTAGGTGGGCACGAGGTGGGACAAAACTTTGGCCAACCAATGAGATTAAAAGCACAATTGCTCAGGTAAAACTGATTAAATCGGAATAACATGGGGAACAGGGGCTTTTCCTGTAGGGGGCTGGGTTAGTGATTTCCAGGAATCCTTAAAGTGAGAGACTCATTTAATCCTTAGTGCCTGTCTTTAGGGAGGTGTGTGGCTGCACTTGTTTACCCTTTTGTCTTGAGATCCGGCCCACAGCAGGGGTCTGTCTCTTAGAAATACTATAGGCAGTCACACAGAGCTAGGCCCTCAAGGAGAAGGCTTGGAAGACACGATAATTTTGCAACTTTGGAGAGACAGACCCCTGCTGTGGGCCGAATCTCAAGACAAAAGAGTAAACAAATACAGCCACATACCTCCCTAAAGACAGGCATTCAGGATTAAATGAGTCTCTCATCTTAAGGACCCCTGAAAGTCACTAACCCAGCCCCCTACAGGAAAAGCTTTTGAGTCCCTTCCCCATTTGGTCCTGGATTTAATCAACTTTACCTGAGTGAGTGTGCTTGTAATCTCTTTGGTTGACCATAGTTTTGTCCTACCTCATGCCCATCTAAGCGAGTTCCCATGTTCTCTACCTTAGATGAGCCTCACCACATGGTTTTACTCTATAAAAATCCTGGGAAAAAAAAATCCCTGGAAGACACAGCTTCCAGGGGCAACCTGCACCCCGCCACACACACAGGAGTTTTCTTTCTTCCCAATAAATATATTCTGTTCTTAACCTCCGCTTGTTCCTAAAATTCATTCTTTGGTTTTAGAGAACACTAACTCTGCCCAGGTACCTTTCAGGTCGGGAGTTTCATTCCCCTATATCAATACGACAGTTTGTTTCTTTTTCAATCCCTTTCTTCCCTCCAATTCCCCTACCACATTTTTCATTTTTCTTGGTATTATTAATCGTAGCTCATGTTATGGCATACAAAGTTTACATTAATTGGGGTTATTAGGCTCCTCTGCATGGCATATTTTATTCTTATTTGCCTTCCCCTCCCCCACGCCATTCACCCTTTTTGCCCTTGGAGCATGTCCGTATTTTTTTTTCCAGAACTGGGGATTGAACTCAGGCCCTTGTGCTTGCCAGGCAAGCGCTTATTCTATTTAAGCCTGTGTGCCTGGTTTATTTCATTCAACATTATATTTTCCAACAAATGCCTCAGATCTGTCATTTTTGTAGCAGAGTATTCGTGTGTGTGTGTGTGTGTGTGTGTGTGTGTGTGTGTGTTCTTTATCTAATCATCTGTTTTTGTTTTTTGGTTTTGTTGTTGTCGTTTTGGTGGAACCGGGGATTGAACTCAGACCCTTGCGCTTGCCAAGGAAGCCCTTATTCTACTGAGCCATCTCCCCAGCCCCTCCAATCATCTGTTGGTGAGTATAAAAAATATTGAATGCTTCATGAATTTGCATGTCACCCTTGTGCAGAGGCCATGCTAATTTTCTCTGTATTGTTCCAATTTTAGTTTATATGCTATTGAAAAGAGCAAGAACAGTGCTTTTTTTTTTTTTTTTTTTTCCAGAACCAGGGATTGAACTCAGACTCTTGTGCTTGCCAAGCAAACCAAGCAAGTGCTTATTCTACTGAGCCATCTCCCTGGCCCCAACAGTGCCGTTTTTAATTCTTCATTTACACCTGTTGTGAAGTCAAGCAAGTCTTAGGACAGTTTAAATCTGGCAGGCCAAGTGAATTTCTGACGGGACAACAGCCCCAACGCTTTATTTCCATAATGGGGAAACCAAACTAGAAATTCCAGACACAAAAGCCTCCTCCATAGTCCTCTGGGCCACTGTGAATCTGTTCACAGGCCCGCATGTTCTGCAAAGCATACTTCCTTTCCGCATTCAATAAATGTTCGTCCCTGTTGTTTAGTTCTGGAGTTGTGGGGTTACCTTCCACAGGTTTCTAGGCCCTTCTTGACTTGAACAAAGAATTGAACAAAACAAGCCCAAAAGGTAGCAAAGTTTTATGTTTATTAAAAATGGGAAAGGAAACCGTGTTCTGCAAAGCAAGTTTGGGCCAAGTAAAAGTAGGAAAAAGTACACTCTGCGGCATGAGAGTGCTGAGAATGCTGAGGAAGCAAGAACACACCCACCCGCAGCTCATTGGTGGGCGGGGGTCCTTCCACGCCGCCTCCTCCTCTGCAGGCTGCAGTCAGCTCTAGGCCTTCCTTGGAAAATTTGCTCCTGTTCTCGCCAGGAGAATGGAAGCCAGCGCTCTCTGATTGGAACCACTTGCAGGGCTTTGGGAACTGTTCTGTGCTTGCGTCCTGGGACTTTGCAAATAACACATCTGCCCACTTCCCCAGCTAGTGGGGGGGAGGGGGCAGGGAGGCCTGTGCCTGCCTCAGCCCCATCACTTTTTCTGTCTTGTCCTGGTCTTTGTTCAGGACACCAAGAGCCTGGAAACATTTCCCTGGGATCCATAAACAAGCCTTGGTACTGCGCACGGTAAGACCCCAGTCTTAAAATACCAGTTTTTTTAAAGGATTGGGAGCCAAGCATGACTGTGCATGCCTGTAATCCTGTAATCCCAGCACTCTGAAGGCTGAGGCTATGTAATGAGTTCAAGGCCAGCCTGAACTACAAAGCATGACCTTGTCTCAAAAATCTCAAAAGAGGGGCTGGTGAAATGGCTTAGTGGTCTAAAGCACCTACTTAGAACAAGCTTAGCAAAGCACAGGGACAGGGGTTCAATCCCCCAGCACTACATGCCAGCCAGCCCCACCCCCTGGTGGGCTGAGCTGGACACACACACACACACACACATACACACACAAATAAATAAATAATTTTTAAAAAAACAAACCTCAAAAGAGGGGCCAGGGAGATGACTCAGTGGAGTAAGCGCTTCCCTAGCAGGTACAAGGACCTCAGTTCAATCCCCGGTTCCACAAAAAAAAAAAAAAAAAAAATCTCAAAAGAGGGGTGAGGTGGGGATATAGCTCAGTGGTAGACTGTACCTAAATTCATTCCCCAGAACCACAGAAAGAAAGAGTAATCAAAGAATTTAAAGTATTCTAGGATAATAGTAGAAGCAAAGACCAAAGCACACCACACACCAGTTTGTAAAAGCCTAATTGATTAAAAATTTTAGAAAAACAGATGGGTTCCAGTTCTCTTCTCACTTAACCAATAGGAAACAAGGATGTAAGGGTGATCTGCCTGTAGCATTTGTTGCCCCGTTAGTGTTACCCATCTGGCTGGCTGGTTAGTGTCCCCTTCTTCCTCCATCTCTCCATGAGTGTCCCTCCCAAAGCTGCACCACATTTCCTGATAGGCTAGGGCCATTCTGCAGTCCAGATAAATGAGTAGCTGCGCTCCCCTGCTGGAACTTCCAAACAATCTTTCAGGGTTCAAAAGAAAGCAAAAGGCTTAAAATCCCCTACATAAACACCATAAATCAAAAGGGAGAGAACAAATGAAAAATAAAACTTAAAAGGAAATAGAGTATGGTAAAATTTCATCACCAAGCTGAGCTCTCCTATCGAAGGATGCAGCTTCCTGACTTAAAAGCATAAAATCTAACAATTTGTTGCCCACCAGAGGAACACAAACCAAAACATAATCCACAGAGAAGCACTGTCAGAGGTTAGTCCTTTGTAAACAGAAGAAAAGCTGGGATTATTCTTTTGGTATCAGCTAAAGCAGATGTAATAGCAAAATGCAGATAATAAATAAATAAGGTCATTACACAGTGGTCAAATATATATTAACCTATGAGAATCACAAAAGTACTGATTGTATATGTTACCAAAACCATTGCAATGAAGGCCATCAAAGAAATAAAGATAAGTATTATTTGAATTGGAACCTGCAATGCTCCATTTCTGAAAAGAATAGGCAAAAATAGCTCTTTCCCATCTTGCAAGATGGTGGGTGAAAAAACTGAGAAGCCAGACACTAAAGAGAAGAAACCTGAAGCCCAGAAGGCTTCTGCCAGTGTTACTGGTAAAAAGTGTAAGATGAAGGCAAAAAAAAGCCCATGAAGGGGCAGGCCCACTGCAGCCGAAATGGTGTCCTGATTAGAGGAATTGGTAGATACTCCCAATATGTCATGTATTCCAGAAAGGCTTTGTACAAGAGAATGTGCACAGCTGGTAAATCAAAGGTTGGGAAGAAAAAGAAGGAGAAAGTTCTTGCTACCATCACAAAACCGGTCGGTGGGGACAAGAATGGAGGTAGCCGGGTGGTTAAGCTTTGAAAAATGCCTAGGTACTACCCTACTGAAGATGTGCCCCGAAAGCTCTTGAACCACGGCAAGAAACCCTTCAGTCAGCATGTGTGGAAACTTCGAGCTAGCATCACTCCCGGCACCATCTTGATCATCCTCACTGGGCATCACAGAGGCAAGAGAGTGGTCTTCCTGAAGCAGTTGGAGAGTGGCTTGCTACTTGTGACTGGACCTCTGAGCCTTAACCTTGTTCCTCTATGATGAACACACCAGAAATTTGTCATTGTCACCTCTACAAAAATTGACATCAGCAAAGTGCAAATCCCCAAACACCTCACTGATGCTTACTTCAAGAAGAAGAAGCTACGGAAGCCCAGACACCAGGAGGGCAAGATCTTCAACACCGAGAAAGAGAGATACCAGATTTCAGAGCAGCGCAAGGTGGATCAGAAAGCGGTAGACTCACAGATTTTGGCAAAAATCAAAGGTGTTCCTCAGCTCCGGGACTACCTGCGATCCGTTTTTGCTCTGACAAATGGAATTTATCCTCATAAATTAGTGTTCTAAATTTCTTACTAAGAACTTAATTAGGGGCTGGTGAGGTGGCTCAGTGGTCTAAAGCACCTACTTAGAACAAGCTTAGCAAAGCACAGGGACCGCGGTTCAATCCCCCAGCACCACATGCCAGCCAGCCCTGCCCCTGGTGGGCTGAGCTGGCCACACACACACACACACATAAATAAATAAAATTTTAAAAAGAACTTAATTAAATACCTGATACATTTTTTTAAAAAAGAATAGGCAAAAATACACTGGCAAAAGCCGTATAACACTGAGTAATTTGTTCAACCTAAATTTAGAGAGGGCTCACTAGGTTCCAAGGTCTTCTTACATGTTAGAAGATAATTTGATAAGCAATATTGAAGTAGGAGATTAAGGCTGGTGCAGGAAAGCCGGACAACTAACTGGGTGGAGTGTGTCAAAGGTTCTAAAAGCCCATGGCCAACAGATTGAGCAAGTTGTTTCCCAAAATGTGACAACATGTGCCCAACTCAGGACCCTAAAAGATTCCACAGCTTCTAAGCACTGTGCATGGAGCCAATCAGAAAAACGGTACTAATCTCTCATTTGACTCTGGTGCTGTTTGTAGGGCCAATCAAGAGGCTATTTTCAATCTTCTATTTCATGTGGGCACAACCAAGCAAAAGATGTTGGGCTGGGGACATAGCTCAGGGGCATAAGCACCTGCCTGGCAAGCATGAGGTCCAGAGTTTGATCCTTGATACCAGAGGAAAGAAAAAGTGTTCTTTTTGATTTTTCATTTACATCTGGCAGGAAACCAAGAGAGTTTTTGAGAGGGCAAGGAGTTCCTGACTGGATAATGCCTTACTTCAGCAAGGAAGACACCAATCCCGGTGTTCTGGAGACAAACAATCCCTTTTGCCTTGTCCTCAAGGCCACTGGAACTCTTTTCACTGCCCTGCTCTTGATCTGTATAGTGTACTTCCTTCCCACCTTCAATAAATGTACACTTTGCTACATTTTCTGTGTCTCCTGTTTGTTGTTCAGGACACCAAGGACTTGGAAGGAAGCCCTGTGTGATACCCACTCCTCCCCCACAAATGGAGACATTGAAGAGGGGGCAAGTTCATATGGTCTCTTTTCAAAAGTGCATACACTGTCATTTACAAGCTGACATAAAAACCTGACATCCAGTATTCGCCAATGAAGATTCATTCTTTTGTTTTTGTTCTTTGAGACCGTGTCTCACTACATAGTCCAAGCTGTCCCAGACTTGCCATGTAATCTAGACTGGCTTTGAACTCACGATTTACCTGCCTCAGCCTTCCAAGTACTGAGACAAAGATTCATTGTCATTAGTATAACACACAATAATGAATTTATTCAACATATTAAATTGGTTGTTATTCATAGAAAATCAGAAATATCACCCAAACCACAAGGCAATATTTTTAAAATCTATTTATTTATTTATTTGGTATGGGGTCTCACTACACAGCTCATACTTACCGTGATCCTCTTGTCTCAGCCTCCCCAATGCTGGGATTATAGGCATGCACCACCATGCCAGGTTTTGGTGGCCAACATGGCACACCGAGGATTCTGGGACTGGCCCTGCATGCAGTACTGGGAATTGAACCTGGGTCCTTGCACTTGCCAGGCAGGCACTTAGACTGCCAAGCTATCTCCCCAGCCCAAGGCAATAATGTTTTTTTAAAAAATAGCTGGGCAGGGGCTGGGGAGATGGCTCAGTGGAATAAGCGCTTCCCTGGCAAGAGCAAGGGCCTGAGTTCA